TGCTCATGCGCAAAGAAAGGAAAATTTATTCGTGGACTGGACATCTGGAAGATGAGAACTGAGGAGGAAACTTCAGATTGGCCACTCACGAATACTTTTTCGATTTTATAACGAACGATTAAGACTGGGCCCAAGGGAAACAGTGAGTTTTGTTTCCCCTCTACCCTCAATAGTCTCCTCTGCAGCCGTTCTTTGCATGACATCCCAAAAAACGGCTGGGAAAGCCGAGACTACTTTTATAGATACAGACTTCCTAGATCGTTTTCACTGTCACGAAATTGCGACAAGAAATTCAAAGTCAAGAAATTGTGATATTATAGGAAATAAATAAAGAAGAGACTTCTGCAAGTTTTAGGTCTGTGCGTTTTCCCAAACTGCAGATATTCGTCAAAATGTTTCGTAGAAATTTACAGAACGCCATGTTGGTGCACCTCTGTGGTGCACCAATATGGCGGCCGGAAAATAGTGTAAAGATCTGGAACTTACTTTTTCTATCTAGGAGACTGATTATCTGTACTGAACAAACAAGCATTTACATAAACACTTTTCCAAATGCTCTATTTTCTAGAAAAGCTAGAAATCACGAGATGGGTATATATTTTTCAACAAATGCGATCGTAGCTTTGTTTCACGCACCGCCATAACTCAGAAATTCAAAATACGCTGATTTCCAAACGAAGCGCACTATAGAGCTGTAACATTGTAAACAGATAAAAATTTACCCCCTCTTATGTACGATGGGAATAAAAACTTGGGTGGCTCTTTAGTTTTTGATTTTAGGAAATGATGACGTCACGTGAAAACGATCTATTGAAATAAAATGAAAAATAGGAAAAAGAAAGCAACAGTTATATCTCCAATTGAATATATCATTTGCTATTGAGTGATCTTAAATAAATGCCATGACAGTAGTTTTAAGATATAGCCTGACCGAAAAAAAGGAAAGGCAAGGGGTGCAAAGCAAGTTAAATGTAACAAAGACAAAACAACAACAAATTAAAACAACAAGGTTTAAGAGTTTTTTGGAGCGATGGCAGGACTGCGTTTTTTTAACACCAGATACAACTTTTTGTTGATGAAGTTTAAGCTTAAATCACCATAGCAAATGTTAAATACCGTAAAGATTCGATTTAGCGCCGGCCGAGGCGCTTATTCAGGCTTTTGGTACCTCAAGGGAGGGCGCTTATTCGAGACGGGGCACTTATTCTTTTTGGAGAAACAACCGAGTGTTCAAAACAAAACCTAAATAGGGCATTTATTAAGAAAGGAACAACAACAGAAACTGTAACAGTAACAAGTATGCGATGAATGCCCAGTTAACATTTGAAGGAATTATGTAATCGCATGGACATAGTAGTTGAGAAACTCAGACGAATTGAAGACCAATGTTTTTACTATGGTAGAGCAACCAATACTGCCACCCTTTCTTGTACACATACATAGTTGAGGTAGATAGAAGTCCCGGGGGGCAGGGAACTGTATCCTTTTTTGTGCCTGGGGGCTGGGAATAGGCTGCCAAACAAGAAAAAAATGTAAATCCCCGGGGGTATGCCCAGGGGGGATGATAACAGGTTGAATTGAACCACACATTATTAATGAACTTGAATCGGTCCCATTGATAGTTCTGGGCTTTATTTTCTTTTTCCTGTTGATTTTGTAGGGGGCCAGCGAGGGGGTTCAGTAGGGGGGTTCTGTAGGGGATCAGTGTTTTGTCGAAACCCCAATATGATTGACGTGGCATGTCACATTACGTTAGAGAACACGTCTACCACTGACAGAGGACATAACTGCAATGGTACACACCATCAGGGCAATCATGCTGGCAACAAAACAATTGAAGAGGTGATTAACGTGGTTAGGATGTGGGTTGCTTGGGCAATTTTCTTTGAGGTGTCAAGGTTGGGGAAGCCTTGAACTCCGTTTGACTAAAGTCAACTCATAATTGACTCATGCTGCTGGATAGAAGACCCAAGCTAGGTTTCCCACTCACTAAGATTATTATACCATTTTTTTTATTAAGTTCAAACAGATATTTGAAATTCTAGTTTTTAATAATGACTATCATTAGTACTGTAATTGTATTTCGAATTTGAACTGTATTTATCACGTACTAACAAAAATTAAAATTAAAAAATAAATAAATAAAACGGTATAATATAAATAAATTGTACCTTTTTTATTCTAAGTTCAAACAGATATCTGAAATTCTAGTTTTTAATATACTATCATTGCAATGTAATTGCACTTTGAATTTGAACAGTATTTATCACGTACTAACAAAAATTAAAATTTAAAAACTAAATAACACGTTTTGAGACTTAAAAAAGTGTTCCCTGACTTAATTTGTATCCAAAGCAATAATACACTATTCCCTTATATATTCAAACTCATTTATAATTCATTTAGTTTAAACCTGTATCTGATCTTAACTATACATAGATTTTTAAGATTTCATTTCTCCGTTTTCTCCTTAGTTTCAGTTTCGATTAAGAAGATACATCAAACACTTAAGTCCGTGCCTGACCAAACTTCCAAACACCTCAAATGTGTTTGAAAATGTGGTCAAACGTGATATATTACATCTTGAGTACTTTTCAAACAGGAAAGCTATATTTTTCGTCTTAATGGACGTTTCAAAGGCCACACTGCATCTAACTAACGTCAACAAACTTGACTCAAGCAGGGCTTTCATTAAGGGCAGCTCACCGGGTAAATTGCAAGGTTGTGAGGATGGTTTTGCCTGCCTGGTTTGACCATCTAGGGAAACGTTTTTCTTATATTAGAAGTACAGTTCACATAGTTTTGCCCACCTGTGAAGACCAGTTTCCCTCCTGCTGAAAACTTTAACGAGACCCCTGCTCAAGCATTAAAGCATCCATTTTTCAATAACTGCAAAGATTCTCGCATGCTCGTTGGCTAATTTTTATTGCCAATAAGCAGACAGACGCATGAATTTATAACTTATGTGATGTTCACGCGAGAATGGACAATTTGACAATTTGTTATTGTAAAAAACAAATTGACGTCAGTTTTTTTATGCGTCTGTCCTGTTATTGACGATGAATTTCAACGTTACATTCATTTGTTAAAGTGGTCTGCGGATACATGGCTACTTTGAACATGTTATGACAAAATTCATGATCAATAAGAGGACAGACACATGAAAAAATGACGTCAATTTGCCAACTTTGTAATTGTTGTACTTGTTTTTACAACTTCTGAAAACTGTGTGATGACATCAGACCCATATTTATTATTGCTCATATCCAATTCTGCAAGAGTTTTATTCACCTTAAGAGCATTGGCTAAAGCAATAGCACCTTCGTCCCCAATCCTATTTTTGGACAAATTTAAATTCTTAAGAGTGACGTTTTCTTCAAGAGCGCTTGCAATAAGACAAGCACCACGGTTTCCTATTTTATTGTTAGATAAGTCTAACTCAGTTAGAGTCTTGTTCTCTACCAAGACTTTAGCAAATGACTCTGCACCACCGTCACCCACATTTTTACCAGAGCAGCCGTACGTGGTCAAAGATCCATTCGAAAGTAATGCTTCAGCAATGCTACTTGCACAGTCATCACCTCCTAAAATGAAAACTGATTTCAGTACTATGTCACTATTTACAATATATTTGTTCATTATTATTTCAAACTGTATGAAACATGTTTTTTGTGCAAACTTTTGTAACATGATTCTTTTATTTGCCTGTAAACAGTTATAACATTATATTTGTGCCTGCTTATAACATTATAATTGTGCCTTCAAAAGAAAAGGTTTATGGGGATGTAAGGCCACATTTTTAGTGCAAAATGTAGACAGGTAGCTGGAGACTGTAAAAAAAGGGTTAATGTGCTCTGCAGCAATATAATAAACTTTAGTAATAATAATAATAGTAATAATAATAATAATAATAATAATGACCATGATAATGACCATGATAATGATAATGATAATGATAATAATAATGATAATGATAATGATAATAACAGTTTAATGATGACTTTTCTATAAACACAGTGTAGCTCTACAGTCATCATCTCACTAAAAGACTGATCAAGTTAAATAAAATTACAAATACTAACCTCTGTGAAAATACATGTTAGTATACAGTCAAACCTCTCCACAGTGGCCACCTTGGGCACAGAGGAAAGTGGCCACTGTATAGTGGGGCTGTTATGAGGAGGTAGGGCTGTAATGTGAGATTTTTTTTTTTTTTAGGAGGGGGGGTACAATTTATTTTTCAGTAAATGCTTCTTTTAGCATGTATATATCAAAATGCATCAATAAAGGGCAAGGGCACATGTTACAAATCAAGTTTGGTGACCTTTTACAAACAAAAATGGGGTTTTGTGTGCACTGTTCGTCAGTCATTGATTAACTAACTGTTGTTGAGAGTGTTTGAAATGCGGATATCAACACAAGTCGCCCTCAGTCTTGTTGTAACTTATTTTGATGCTCACAGCTAAATCACTCCCTGTGTCTCAAATATGTCTCAGTCACTGTCACTACAAAACAAAGGAAAGTTCTTTAAACATGCTCTTGATAAGGTTGCTAAGGAAACATGATTTATGTCATTGCTGAGATCATCTTGAATATCTAATGTAACACAAAACAATTGTCATGCACTAATAATGATTGTCACGCTCTATAAATTTCTAACAAGAGGTTATTTTGGCAGTGGGGATGAATTTTAGTGGCCATTACTGTTGTGGAGAGGTGGCTGTTGTGGAGAGGTTAAAATAAGAGTGAACATATCCTTGGACTGTCCACGGGGACCAAAAAAGTGGCCATTGTAGTGAGGTGGCCATCAGTGGAGGTTCGACTGTTTATTTAAGCAATAGACCACAAGTTTCTATGGTTTATAGGCTGATAAACCACGCGGGATGTTGGAAGAACACGAGAAGAATTCGTAAATCACAAGCCACAGGCGAGTGATTTACGAATTCCTTGAGTGTTCTTTCAACATCCCAAGTGGTTTATTAGCCTATAAACCATAGAAGTTTGTGGTCTATTGCTTTTATGTAATAATTTAGAAGACACGTGAAATTTCCATGAGTTTACAGGCACAATAAACCATAGCTGATTGACCAATCAGAGCGCTCGCATTGATTTGATTATCATATAAATACAAATGAACTTATATATAACTGAAATTAATCCATCTGGATTTGGCTTTTGGTTTTTAAGAAGAACTTACGATATGATATAATATAACATAATATAATATAATGTATTAGAAAATAACCCTAAGAAAATATGTGCGCTGATTGGTTAAAAATCGTGTTTCTATTAAGCAATTAGATTATGAGCTTAAGATTTCTGTTGCGTGAGTTCACGAGGGCGCAGCCCAAGTCAACTATCATGCAAAGAAATTGAGTGCGAATAATCTAATTGTTTTAGTATAAATCTACTAGTTGTTCAAGAATTTTATATAAATACTCCTCACAGATACCTCGAAAATGCAAACAAGTGGCCGTCATTCTGTTAACGAGCACATACTGCTACGCTACTCGCTTTCTATCACAGAACACATGTAGATAGTGAGTAGTGTAGCCAATCAGAGAACAACATCCATGGTAGCACACTAGTAGATTTATACTAAACTTGATAGAAACACAGAACTAGAACGAGCTGCTGACGTAATGATGGCGCAAGCAAAGAGAATTTACATTTTGATGATCAAATTAAGGTTACCATATACCTTCAGGGGTGTCTCGCACCCAAGCGATGTAGTGCGTCCGGTTTAAGCTGTAGATACCTAAACCCCATATCAGATTAAAGTTTATAGAGCTGGCTATCAAACCATGCCAAAAATTTTGACATAAAATGAATTGCCGATTTTTTCACGGCCACTAAATGCAATCGTCCTAATCACCTTTTGGAAGCTACAAGTCAAAGCGAATTTTGTTTTTTGCCAATTTATTTTTTCCTCGGTTTCAGGACAAAAAGCACTAAAAAAGCGTGTCTGTGTTTTGCCATATTCAATTGCACTAAAAAGTTACAGAACATTTCCGAAAAAGGATTTAAAAAATGTGAAATGATCGTACAAAAATCGCTCTAGGAGAAAAAATATTCGAAATAAACAATTCGCAGACACGTTTTTGTTTTTTATATGTTAATCTATCTACTGTCCAAATTTGAGGGCAATCAAACAAATCCCCTTTGAGTTGTAACTCTTTAAAGTGTCTGCTTCAAGCGAAAAAATTTATCCAAGAAAACAGCACTAAGAAAAATCTCCGCCCAAAACGCTTTCAACTGGGTTCTCAGATCACTGAGCCAATCAACGCTTGGAAAATCTACTACCATTAACTCGCGGTGAAATTTACGCGTGAATCTCCAAAGAACCCTTGTGTTTTGTAATGCGCTTAAGGCGGAGAGATACTTTTTCTGCAGCTGGGTTTTTCTTGAAACTGGTCTGGCAAAATGGGGAAGACAAAAAAGGATACGAACGCTAGAGTGGCTGGGCGACAAGAACAACCAAAAGAAAGCGCGGCAGAGAAAATGTGCATGGATAATATTCCAATGGATCTGTAAACATTGCTGTAAACATCGCTGTTATCGCTGTCGAGTTCCGAAATTTTTACAGAACCTTTCTCTTCTCTTGACTCAATCTTTTTGCCCGCTTGATACGATAGTTATAGCTTCATCTGCGAGGCCAACTTTCGCTTCTTCACTCATTGAAGTATTTTCATTTGTTCTTCACTTTTTTGAACTGGTAAACGGAGTTTTCTGTGGTCCATGTTTACTTACAACTTAACAGAATTACACCTAATACGAAAAATGCTTGGATTAACAATGCTGATAAATTGAGTAGCTAGCCAATTCGTGGTATCCATATGGGTAATATTCCTGCGAAAGTAGTCTCAGTTGGTTACGTACACGTTGTAAGGCTGTCAATCAAGAGGGAACTTTTACTTCCGGCCATAACGTAAAACCTCCATTTCTCCGCCAATATTAAGTTTTTTTCAATTTTGTTTTCAGAAATTAGAAATTACTCTTCGACCATTACTTTGAACCAAAACTCTAAATTTTAAGAAAATTGCCGATCTGAAGGTATACTGTAACCTTAAACAGGTTGTTTCCAGGCTTTTTTTGTTGCATTGTTTTCTAAAAGAAATAGAAAACATGTCCTCAGTGTTTCTATTGAGTTTTAGTGTCACCCAACTAGTGGACTAATGCAAATCCTGCATTTTAATTGGCTACGCTACTAAAGGACTATTAATAATAGACCTCAAGTAACGAAATTGGTGCAATCAAGCATGACACTTTCTTTCATTTTATTCCCAAAGAAATATTTCTTCAACTTGCATTTGCTAACTTTATTATTATTGCCTTTTCTGTCCGACTAGTTGGGTGATACTAAAACAATTAGACCCTTTGCCCTCAAGGGCCATGGGTCAATAGCCCATTTGGCTTGGCCTCATGGGCTATTGACCCGTAGCCTGCAAGTGCTATGGGTCAAATTGTTTAATAGAAACACTCGTGAAAGTTTCGGAGAACTCGAAAAAGCTGTGGAAACACTTGCCTACGGCTCGTGTTCCCACAGCATTTCTCATTCTCCCAAACGTCCACTCGTGTTTCTATAACTCAATAGAAACACGGTACATGTTTCCTACTTCTTAAATATAATATAATGTAATAATACAATATATCATATACAATAGTCTAGTAAGGGGGGGGGGGACAGGGGGGTCAGAGCCTCCCGTTTCCCCTACCCTGCTCTCCCGCTTCCTGTCCCTTTATCTCCCAACTCCCGCCCTCATCCTTCTTGCTCTCCTCCTCTGTAAATAAGGAGACTCAAAACACATCCTTGTCATTTAGCTCTGCAATCTTTAGGCGTTTCTTTTCCTTTTCTCTTTTGTTTTCAGCCTTGCTCTTCTTACTCACATCTTTTGACAGCTTAAGTGACAACATTTCATGAACTATGACGTAATCACTGTAAAAGGGTTTCCAATTTCACCGGAAGTAGGCCTCAGTTTTCCAGCCCAAGGGCAAATTTTCATTTTTTGTGTCCGTCCAGAAGTTTCAAAATAAGCTAAATGTAAGTCAAAAAACATTTTGGGTTCTTGTTTTTTAAAGTATCTTAATGCTTGATAAATGATTTCAACCTTCTTAGAACTCCTGCTTCCCGCCCTTTCCTCTCCCATTTCCTGCCTTTCCCTGCCCTTTCCTCTCCTGCCTCCCACCCCCTATTCTCCCAGGCTCCCACGCCCTGTCCCACTCCCCCACAGTAAAGGGTCGGCCATGTGTGCACTACGTAAATCATGGAGTCCCTATACCTTAATTCCCTAAGCACATAAACAAAAGTATATATCTGTTTGAGAACAGCCTTATGATCTCCTTATGGTACTGTTCTATCCAGAACAAAGTGCTTTGCTTTTAAAGGAAATTTGATTGCTATCCTTAAAATAGGCATGTCTTTGTTAATAGCAAGGACTAACCTGTTTTTTGTTCTTTTTCCTCTTCACCTTTGTCTTCAAGACAAGCATTATAATAGTCTCCCATACTGGGGTTTAAGGTACTTTCCTTTAGATGATCTAAATCAGGTCTACGGCTTTCCCCTAGAAGTCTCACAAGTGCTTCACTTAGAATTTTCCAATAGTCCTCAAAAGTTTCATTGTCAATTGAGGCCTCTGATGCATGGGCTAGTTCTCTCCTAAAATAGCTTACACGTGTGATGTCAGCACTTAAGGTAGTGTCTTCTGATGATGGCAGTTTGTCCCAACCTGCAGGAGGTGCTGGTAAACAACATATGTTTCTTATCAGAACCATCAAAAGGGATATATCAAATGTATCAGCTGAAACCGATTCACGTACAGCAGGATAAAGTTTGGTCCACTGTGTCGCACTGATGCGTTTTTCCTTTTGAAGGTTCTGCAAATCATTTAAAACTGTCTCATATCCCAAAACATGATGTAGCACCCCTGGAGAGTATATTTCATTGAACTGCGTCTTCAAGGCTAATGTTCCTACTGAAATAACAAGGGCAGCCAATCGGCTAAAATTTGCTGACTCTTTTGTATAACGTACTTTAGTCACTTGGCCATTCTGCACCTGTACACCATACAAAACAAATCAAAAATAAAATAATTTATTGTTAGTATTATAACTATATTCGTGTCTATAACAAAATTCTCAATCATGATTGGTTCTCTGCACTCCAATTTGTCACGTAATTGGCGTGTGATCATGCGGGTGTCCAATTACAGGTGTCCAATTTGAACTTTGATACCTGTAATTGGATACCAACATGATTCACACATCAATTATGCTTGCTTTGATGGCTTCCTTTGCACTGTTTCTTACAGTTTTCAAAACTTATGAAAAGCATTACAGACGTTTTTAACATTAGACATTTTTCTAATGTTATAGACATTTTTAATTCTGAAATTTGTCACACATATGATTAATTAGTAATTGGACCTTGTGTCATACAATTCAGGGTGTAATCGTGTTCATAATTTCAAATCGGCCTCGCAATTTGCGCTCACCCAATTTTGAAATTACTTGCGCAATTACTCCCTGAATTGTACCCCACTCGGTCCAATTACTATTACTTATTATAATAATTATTACTACTATTACTATTACTATTACTATTACTATTACTATTACTATTACTATTACTATTACTATTACTATTACTATTACTATTACTACTACTATTACTATTACTATTACTATTACTATTACTATTACTACTACTGTATTATTACTATTACTATTACTATTATCATTATTATTATTAAAAAATGACAATTTTATTGGGCTAATATTATTATTAAACAATGTAATATTAATTATGTAATGCATCCTTTGCTATTTTCATTGAGCCAGTCACCATTTTTCCCAAGAGACCTGGAACAAAATTTTTGTCTCTAATCTTTTGCAACGGCTTGAGTGCGGGGCTACCAAGCTTCGCATTTACAAGATGACAGACACAGTACAGGGGAGATTACATGCAGGCTAAACAGTGCTCAAAACAAGATTTTATTTCAATTAATTAACTCATTATAGAGCACCAATACTCAAGGTAGTCAGGAATTTATTCCAAACTTTTCATTTAGATGGTTCAATATGGTTCAGATATTGAATGATTGTAGGAGCATAACCTAAAAACCATTCGTTGTCCCTTACTGAGTGATCACCCATCGAAATCCAGCTGGGGATCACCTCTTTCTCAGCTGACGAATTTCGCCAGCAGCTGGTGCTTAGCGACAACCCTGCATCTGCTGCCTCTTTTTAAATCATTGATTTCTGGAGATGCTGAATTTAGCTGATTTAGTATTAATATCATTAATTTTATTAACATTATTAATTTTATTCGTTTTAAATATTTACAGGAAGGGGCAATCATTTTTTCTCCTGTGAAGAAGCACAGCTTAGCCATTTAACAACAAACTTATCCATGAGGATGTTGGTTTTAAGTTAAACGAAAATAACTATGTCTTGCAAGCAAACACTGATACTTACATTGAATAAATGGTGGATCAAATAACATCTTAAGAAAATATGTCAATAATTGTGATTGGTCCATATACAGATTGAAAAGGATTGATTAATCTGTGCCAGTGTACAATTGCATAATGCTGCAAACTAGCACCAGGTCCCAGATGTGTAAAACTACACATAGAATGCCTGTTTGTTTGGTCGTTTGTCAAATGAACACTTGCAGAAGGTTTTCTAAGTCTTTTGAAAGGTAAAACACTTTGAAATAAATAGATATATTGATTCGATTGAGGTCTGCTGTATTTTAATTCCAAGCTTTTGGCGAAAGCTTGGAACTAAAATAAAGTGGCTCAAGGTCCCAATTGACTCAATACATCTATCTATTCCAAAATGCTACTGAAGGAAAACTTCAACCATTTACTTTGAAATAACATTTTTAAAAATAGACCATTTTACAGTGATTCTGGAGTTGACCTTGTTTTGATACAGACCTCACTGCTTTTGTTATGTAAATGCACCTAGTTAGCATCAGAACAACTTGATTTACATGACAAAAGCAGTGAGGTCTGTATCAAAACAAGGTCAACTCCAGCCTCGCTGCTTTTCAAAGGCCAGGTCACTGCGCAGACAACTGTGAAATGGCCTATTGTTGAAGTACTTCAGGTAAAGCAAAAAATTCCTCTTTTACCCCTCAAATCGTGCAATTTTATAGGAATTTTAAGATTTTTCATGAATTATGTGATTTGTTGCGATTTTAGATTGATTCTGTGAAATCACACCATTGCAGAATATTAGAAGCCCTGAAAGAGGGATGATCAACTGAATGTTCATTACCTTATTTTTAAATAAAATATATAAAAAATAATCATTATAGAGTAAATTATTCCTTGAAGATTGACTATTCAACCACTATTCTTGTTGTTTCCTATCTTGTCATCTTTTAGTTTAATAATTGGCATGTACTTGAATCATCTAGGAACGAGATTGACAATCATTGCTCAAGGCACATTTAACATGAGTTATAATGTCTACAGAATGTAAAGGACGGTCCAGATACTGATTCATACTGCCCGTTAATAATAAAATGATTAAATTTGATTTGATTCAATGCTTTCTGGATCTTCTTGTGTTCCGCAGTTGGCCATTAAGGCAGTATAATTATTCAAAATGGCCGCTACAGGAAGTGTGGGATGAACATAAGTGCAAGTTCTGTGCAATGACATACAGAAGCCGATAAGGGACAACCCCAAAATATTTTTCAGATCTGAAAAAACATTTATCGCAATTTTTTTTGCAAATCTGTGTTGAAGAGTTGGTAAAATCCGAAAAACTGTTACAAATCTAAATAAAATTACTGGATACACAAATAACTCTCTACAAATCCAAAAGTAGTTGGCAAATCCAAGAATCTTTGTCAAATCCAGAAATATATTTTGGAAATTGGAAAAAATATTTTCTCATGTGTTACTTGCACCAGCAGTCAGCCAGCATCGGAGGTTTTCCCCCACTATTTGGCATTCCAAAATGGTAGCCAGTTGGCAGACTGCAGTCTGTATTGACCGACATCGCTGTCTAGGATCAGTATCCAAGATGAGATAAAGGGCCCTCTATTTCATGTTTAACTATTTCCTGAGTAGTGTCCTCTAAATGAAATTGATTTCTTCTTCACAACTCATACTGCCTTAGCCTTGATCCCAAGATATTCTACCTAAAGTGAACAATGGTCTCATAACAAAATCCCCTTTCTAGGTGGTGTTGTACACCAGGCATAGTCAATTGATAAAAATCAATAATGGAAATCAATCAATTCAATCACTAGCAATCGTCCATTGGAATCAATTGTTATCTGCAATCGACAACACTTTAAAAAAAATCGATTGACAAAAATCGTTAAAACAATTGATAACTCCTGTCTTCAGGAATATCGATTGAAATAAAATTGACACTTATCATTTAACCATATATCTTAATTTTTCTGGACTATTCAACGATGACTTTGTTGTTGTGTAAAATAACGCTTAGAACAACATTAGACAGTCGTTCATTTTCATTGACAATTTAAACTAAGGATTCAAAGTCCAGGTGGAGTGATCTCTTCTCTAGGTCTTCTGGGGTTCTAAGGCAGAATCTTGGCATGTGCCATTCATCCTGGTGGAGGCAGCATGGCCGAGTGGTTAGAGCTCTGGATTTGAAATCTGTAGGTCCCGGGTTCAAATCCTGTTCTGATGGCTAGCCGATGTTGTTCTCCGTAGCTCCGAGTTCAACTTCTCGGCTACACTTGTTAATAGCCAACTGGTCTGCCTCCTGCCAGTTGGCATTCTTTACCTAGTTATGTTTATTTGAATATTTATTTATCATTGCTTGTTTACATTGATCATGAATAGCCCCAATGGGGAGTGGCCAATTAAGTATACATTTGTACATATATCCTTGTCTTCTCCGCAGCTGTTTTTTGGGGAGTGTTGAGTTACATTATCAGTTTATTAGTTTACTACGCCTGGCACGCTATCGACTGCATCTGGAATATCTTTACTGGCAATTTCCCATAAATGTTTCTCTTAGTTGTTTCTGTTCTGACTTGTTACTTTGTTGATGACTGTAAAAGATACGCAGTCTATGAAGATAAAATGACTAAATAAAACCATCACAGACAAATTTTGTCAATCATTTTATCAGTTTAACTTGTAAATGGACAAAAATAATTTCCAATAACAATCAATGAATCAATCTTTACTGATTACTATGGGCAACAATCGAACTCACAACTTTTTTGCTTCATCGATTGCTATTGATATCAATCTTCGATACTAATTCATCTTCGATTGATATCAATTGTTATCAATTGTCATTGATTATTAATGATTATTGGTTTATCAATTGACTGCACCTGGTTGTACAGCGAATCTCTCATCTATGGAACTACACAAATGGGTGGCCCAAGCTCAAGATGTGAGGAGTTATTATTTTTTTTTAATCTTTATGCGAACGTTCAGCACATGAAACATGACATATTTACCGCCGACATCTACTATTACATAACCAAGTTTGATTACACAAAACATGACTCTCGTCTTGCAGCATATGGAGATGTTGTGTTACAACGGTTTGAATTTATAAAGGTTTGTACAGGGAAAAATGTTAATTGACATTATACCTGAAATTTTGATATTTTTGCAATAAAAATGACTTACCTCAATGCCTTGTTGTCTTTTCTATTGTCATCTTGCTTCTCAGCTCAATCCAAAGCCTTTTAAGGGACTTATTGCTTTTTCGTTTTCCTCTCCTAAGAAGAAGCTAAGGCTACACACTCGATTCTGGACTGACCCCCGCTCAATGGGAAAAAAAAAACATTGAAGGCGAGAGTCACGTTTCATGAAATCAAACTCGGTCGATATGTAATAGTAGATGTTGGCGGTAAATATGTCATGTTTCACATGCTGAACAATCGCATAAAGATTTTAAAAAAAATCATAACTCCTCACATCGTGAGCTTGGGCTGCCTCTGTGCTGCACAACATACTTTCCTGTTCATGTCTCTTTGGCATTTCACACCAACAGCATAACTTCTCATTGCTTCCAAATTCACTTCCACACTTAAGGTTACTGTAGACCTTCAAGGGCCGATTTTGTCCAAAATTTGTTCACATCATGTTCAAGACTACTACTTTATCTGAATTTTCTAAAAAAATTATTTTAAAAACTTAAAATGCAAATGAGTAATCCATAAGAACATGATTTTTCAAAACAAGTCAATGATCCGCAAACTCTGTTAAGCCAATAATAGAATATCAACCATTGAGTTCAAGAGCTGTAACAATTTTCGTGGCAATCTCATCCACAGACCCATATTTCACTTGTTATATCCCTTGCATCTTGCAATTTTACACACAGAGATCTTTACCTTTGTTGATTCTATTCATTTCTTAAGCGATAGACTAGGCAATTTTGTACCATCTTTGCGTTCCCAATGAATGCAAGTGCAAATCGCAAACGAATATTCATCACTGCTCTCTTCTGGTGATTGCTGTGGAATTACTGGCAAATCAAATCACTGATATCTGACATGGCAGCCTCTTCAAATGCTCCTTTCCTCCACTTTCCATACTCTTGTACAACACACAGAGCGATGAATTGCACATCTAGTCTTAATGTATATATATTGAATATCTGCACCTGGCTCGGCTCTCTGTGTAGGCCTGTTCAAAGGCTTTTCCACCATTGTTTCTCTTTTTCCTTTTTCCTTGTTTTCCATCTATCTGCTGATTGAGCTTATAAGTTGCTGAATGTTCCATGGCAGACTTTCGTGATGTAATATTTCCTGGAAATATAAACAATGCACCTTTCCGGCAAAGCATTCCTGTAGTCCCCTTTTGTCACAAAACTTGCTGGGAAGTTCTAAGTTGCGTTTCATTGGTTGGTGGCATGGCTGCGTTGACAACGGCTTCAGTGAGGTGCAAAAACTGTTGACTTCTTTTGAGGCCAAAAACTTGAGGTTTATTGTAGCATTAATTACCTCTGTTCATATGAATTAATAGGGTCTGTAAAATCATCGGATTTTAACAAAACTTGGCCAAAATGTTTTTCATATATTTGGGCACCAAAGGGTGTGAGGCTTTTACGAAAATCAAAATACATTTCCTGTGATGTCCCAACGAATAACAACGGTCAGGAAATTCTCTGTTGTCTAACTTTAAAAGGGATTTCCTAAGCAACCATGAGAAATATCAAAAAAGCCTCACACACTTTGTTAGGCCATCATCTTCTGAGTGATATAGTCCAGTCAGTTTGAAATTCTGTTGTAACACAAAGCCTGGTAGTTCAGTTTAGCAAGCACAGTCATTTTTGCATTTAAAGGCTTCTGTATGCCTTCCAAAGCAAATATGGCAAATTAAAGTGTTATTTTCAGATTCTACAGTTTATTAGCTTTACAATGATATATAGTCTATCGAGGTTTTCTCTGAAGCAGCAGGTAAAGAAGGCATTTTCTGGAAGGCGACCCTGAAGGTCTGTTGTAACCTTAAGCTTACAGCACAACGTCATACTTTATATTCTTCTTTATATTGCGATTAAACATGTTTTTTTCGGATTTGAAAAATATTTTGGGACGGTCCCTTATCGACTTCTGTATGCCACTGCATAGAACTTGCACTTATGTTCTTCCCACACTTCCTGTAGCTGCCAGTTTGAATAATTATACTGTCCCAATGGACAAGTGTGGAACACAAGAAGATCCAAAAAGCATTGAGTCAAATCAAATTTAATCATTTTATTGTTAATAATACGCAGTATGAATCAGTGTCAGGATCGTACTTCACATTCTGTAGACATAATACATGTAACTCATGTTAAATGTCCCAACAATTTTTCTAAGATTCGCAACAGTGTCTCAAATTTTACCAACTCTTCAACAAAGATTTGTTAAAAAAAAAATGCAATCTAAGATGTTTTTTCGGATTTGAAATTAACAAATTGATGTCAGTTTTTTATGCGTCTGTCCTCTCATAGATGATAAATTGCATCATAACATTGTCAAAGTGGCTGTGGAGCTACGAGCCGCAGGTGAGTGGTTCCGCAGTAAACTTTGACAATGTTATGATGAAATTTATCATCAATAAGAGGACAGATGCATAAAAAACTGATGTCAATTTGTTTTGTACAACAACAAGACCCCAAAATGGTCAAATGCCGGGAATAAATGAGGGGAAAAGACGCTGTAAACTTGCCGTAAACAAGGATAAATGAATTTTATTCAAAATGATATGAACATTGTCAATAGCGTTTCTTGCTTTTTGATTGGCTTCTTAAAAAGTCCATAAAATCTCATTGGTTAAGAAGTTGAAAGTTTAACAGCTGAGAGTTGAACTTGAAAGCTTGCATAAATTAAAATTTTATCCCTTTGTACTCTTATTGATGATAAAAACGAGCCAATCAGCGTGCGAGAAATTAGACAGTTATTGTAAAAAATATTTTGGAATTGTCCCTTATCGGCTTCCGTAATAACAACTTAGCTAAAACTTTCAATAGAACATGACATGGAACAGTATTTTTAGGGGTAGTTCCAAAGTTATAAACAGTGATAAAATAGTGCCAAATAGACTCAGTTATATAGAGGACGTTTCGGGCCTAGCCCTTTAATTAGGGGTAGTCCATCTTAGGGCAGTCCATTTTAGAGTGGTCCATTAATGATTTAGCTAGTCCACTGGAATGGTCCATTGACTGGCATCATCAGTCATATACCTTGCTGATAAGCTTGATTTCTTGGGACAAACTAAGCTTAATACCACATAAACTTACCTTCGATAAAGACATGTTCTCGTGTTCCACAAGAGCTATGAATTGCTGTGGACTGCACCTGACATCAGTTTAGAGGAAATTTATACCAGTACAATACGCTTTAACGAAACAAACTTAAGTATCGAGTATTAGCCTGCAGTGCAGGCATTATATTTTGAAAAAAAAAATCGATGACTTTTTCCATCTTTTTTGCCATCTTCATCATTCCAGCAATCTCGTCCCCAGGGACGTCGTGACTCGTGCTCACTGGGAGCCTCGTTCGCAGACACCTTTTGACCAATCCTCCTTAGGAAAAAAGTTGGCGGCTGTATAGAGCTTTGACGTCACGTTGTCATGGAAGTTAGTCGTTTGTAGCAAAATTTATATGTTTAATCCTTTAAATAATGGTTTTATTTAACATAGAAAAAGGCTTGCAATCCTATGGTAAATAAAATGTTTGGTTCAATTCAATCTTTTAAAGTGCCTATGAAGTAAAAAATAATTGCTGCTGATTTGAAAGGCTTTCCAAAGTTAAGAAGAATGCCGTTTTCCTGTTTGGAATATCTTTTTTCGTTTTAGAGATATTCATGTTTTTGCATTATAAGTAATGACGGGGGTAGTTTCACTAAAACAGTTCAACACTCAATCAAGAATATAGAAATATGGCACCAGAAATGTACATCACAAAAGTAACAAAATGACATCCGTCGTGCCGTCGCCATGACCACAGTTATGCCGCTGGTCCTGTTTTAATTAAACCTAACATTACCAGATTTTATCTTAAACAAGGATCATCCACCCAACAATCTAATGGGGAGAGTTAAGACGATATGGGAATAATGAGTGTTCCGAGCAAGACCCTCTGCCCCTTTTTGAAGGGTTGCAAATTGGCATATTTGGTTTTTCACAGAAAGAGACTGGAGCCAAAAGTGTTGC